TGTTTGATTTAATTTTTTATAAATAGCAATTATTTTTTAGGAGTTTGGGATTTGTCCGGGTTTGGCCAGCAAGTATAACTATAACAGCATATTACAAAACTAAGAAGAAAATCAAAGAAGCAAAAAAGAAGAAAATACAAATTCTGCAAAAGAAAAAACAAATACCGTAAATTCTCAGAATAGCGGGTATAGATGTTATTTCAAAAATCGCACTTCCTAAAAATAACATATGTAGATTCAAAATAATGCCTATACACATCCCGAAATAACGCGTACCCCACTATTATATGTTTTAAAAAAAAACCAAGTTCAAAGATAGGGATGTTAAAGAGTTTGTTCGGTTTGACCTAGCTTGATTCTTAAAAAGTCTGGGTCTAACTTAATAGTTTAATATATGATATAGATAATTTTAAAAGCGAAATACCAAAAGTATTCATGATTTACTTTTATTAAATTTATCTGAACTAGTTTTGGATCGACTCTAAAAAGTTCCATCCCAGACCCAATCTAAACTAGTCCTTTGTGGGCTATTAATATCCCTATTTAGAAAATCAGCCTAAATATTCGAAATAACACCTATGAGCATACTCAAAATAGCGCACAGGTAGTCAAAATAGTGTACAGATACCTGCTATACTGAGAATTTATAGTAGCTGAGATAAAGGTGAAATTAGAAACAGACTGGAGCAAAGGACTTCAGAAACAAAGAAAAATTTGACAAAGACAAAATAACGAAATGAAATTAAGAACACTAGTTGTAAACTTTAAAGTATTAGCCGAACTAGAGTTAGCAAGACAAGAGAGGTAAAAAAGAAAAGCCAAAAAAAGGAAAGAAAAGAAAACTACATAAGACAGAAGGCTTTTTTAAAAAAGAAACCCTAGATCAAAACCAAGAAGAACCAAAACCAAAGGCTAAAATGACAAATTTAACAGAATGGTTGATCAAAGTAATATACCAAATAAGTATTAAAGACCCTCAGACTAATAGTAAAGCATGGAAGATAGAAGAAAAAAACTTGTTGATAAAATGGATACAATGTCTAAAGGCCTAAAGAAACACTAATACGAAATAGATGCAAAACATATCAATACACAAGAAAAAAAGAGCCAAGAACTGAAAAAAGAAAAAAAAAGATACATTACTCAAGATATTAGAGAAGATCTTTGTAGAAATCTTTAATGTGAAATGAAATTCAAGAAAAACTTTTGGAAAGAAAACCAAAGTATAGAAAGAAAAAAGAAAAGAGAAAGATAAAGAAGTAGAAAAAAGAAGACCTACAAACTCTTACTATGAGAGAAAAAGATTCTGAGCAGACCATCCAAGACTCAAAAGTGAAAAGACCAAAGGAAGGCCCAAGACACTTTGAAGAAAAAAAGGCATACAGAAGAATACATCTAGAAATGCTCATTAGAAGAAGTTCTCAAGAAGTAAAAGAGTACTATAGTACGGCAAAACAAAAAAAGAAGACTATAGCAAAGAATATAAGAAGACTTTTGAAAACTGAGCTGCTTATAGAAAAGGACAAACTAAATTGGAAGAAGAGGAAGAGGAAACATAAATATGAATAAAAGAATTTTAGCAATTTTTTTTATTAAGAGATAAAATAGAATTACTTGTTAGAAAAAATTAGATTTAGATCATTATCTTAGAATAGAGAAAGAAAATTGCCTTTTAGATATAGTTAAAAATTCTTTTGATTTAAAACTATTTTATTTTGGTTTCACTAGCTAGCTTGGTGCAGCCCTCTGGTATGGACAATAGCCTTAACCGGTAAGGCAGACCGCACTTGGGTGCCTATAGAAGAAGTCAAGTAATATCAGATCTGTAATTTAGATAGTTTATAATATTTTACATTAGCTTTGATCTAATAAAGATACTGGCGAGGCTATCAATACGTTAAAAAAAAAAAATTTAAATATTTAGTGAAATAATTAAATATTTAAATATTCAATTTGGTGAAAAAATTATTATTCGAATATTCGAATATTCAATGAATATTCGAATATATTATTTATTGGATCAGACCTTTAGCAGTGGGTATATTATTTAAGGGGTCTTATGCAAGAGAAATATGTTAGATAAAAATAGTTGCAATATAAAATACTCAGATTTATAGATTTTTTATTTTTGTATTTCGCTTTTACAAGATATTTTAGGTAGTGTGCAATTGAATTTTTTTTTTGTTTTGTTATTTTTTTATTTTTTATTTTTTTTATACTGTATATATATATCTACGATATAAATATTTAAATTTTAATTTGTAATGAAAAATAAGCATAAACACAATAAGCTTTCTTTTTTTAAAAAACAAGTTTTAAGATAAAAATTTTTTTAAGATAAACTTTAAGATAAACTTTTTTAAGAATACTGATAATTTTATTATGATAGATTTAGAAAGAATTTTAAAAAAAACAAGATTTCAACAAAAAGATATTAATAGTGGACAGCTTGAGAAAAACTTTATATAATTGCTTATCTTAAATATATTCTGGGTGCTACTGTTTGTGAAACAGCTGACAAATTTAATATTCAACCAAAATAGATTCGGAAATAGTATAATAAAGAAGAAGAGCTATTGCTAGCTCAACCTTATGTTAATGTTTAAATGCTAATGCATGGCCTGCTTACTCTAACCTTAAAACTAAGCTAGCTAAATAGGTTTAATCCCACGCAATGAGTTAAAGCCTGTAAATTGCACTATGCTACAAATAAAAGCAGTTTCTTTAGCAAAATCACTACAGTATTCTTTTAAATACTCCAATATTAATCAATTTAAATAGAACAATAAAATAGCTTGATAAATTTTTATATCATTACAATTTTAGTAATTGCCATAGAACAACAGTTGCTCAAAAACTTCTAGAGGATCTAGAAGTATAACAGCAAAATTTTTTAAGTTTTGTTTAATATTACCAGATTTAGTATAATTACCTATTATTACTAATAGACAATATGGATAAAACACCCCTTATCTTTAATATACCAAGCAATGTGACTATTAATAATATAAAGAATAAAACAGTTAGCATTAGAACCTGTGGTCTTGAAAAATCATACTTTATTGTTGTACTTGCTTGCATGGCAGATGGTAAAAAATTACTCTCTATAATTATTTTTAAGCTAAAAAATATTCCATATCTTGAATTTTCAACTAATATAGTAATTAGAGATAATAAGAAAAGCTGGATAAATAAGATAGAAATAAATTATTGAATAAATATAATTTGGAAAAATTGTATACCATGTACTAAAAACTCAAGATCTTTACTTATAATGGATTATTTTCTGGGTTATTTAGTTCTATCTATTAAAAATAACCTTTTTAACAAAAATACTAATATCGCAATAATTTCTAGAGAGTTAATATCAAAAATCTAACCTCTCGATATATCAATTAATAAATCGTTCAAAACAAAAGTTTTTTTTTATATTAGATTTTTATTTTATTTTATTTTTATTTATTTTTATTTTATTTTTATTTTTATTTTATTTTTATTTTATTTTTATTTTATTTTTATTTTATTTTTATTTTATTTTTATTTTATTTTATTTTTATTTATTTTTATTTTATTTTTATTTTTATTTTATTTTTATTTTATTTTTATTTTATTTTTATTTTATTTTTATTTTATTTTTATTTTATTTTATTTTATTTTTATTTTAATTATACTGCTAGCATTTATATATATATTACTTTATTTATATAGATTAAATCTATATATAATGAATAGATAGTGCAAAAAGTCAAGCAGTTAACTGCAAGTAGTAAAATAAACTACTCACCCTATAATACTATTGCAAAATAGATTAAACAAGCATAGGATGCTATTAATATCTAACTTATTAAATGATCTTTCAGATGTTGTAAAATATCTATTACAAATGATGGATCAAAAAAAAATTTATTATTTGATTACGATTTAGTTAAAGACTATGAAGCCAAAGAATATATTTTTAATAATAATAAACAACATAGTTTTACAACCTCAATCTATCAAAGTTCTTTATCTCAAAATCTCTTGCCTCAAGGTTTTCTATTTCAAGACTTTTTGTCTTAAAATTCTCATCTCAAAGTTCTCATTTTAAAATCCCTTGCTTTAAAGTTCTCTATTTTAAAATTTTTTGCTTCAAAGTACTCTACCTTAAAATTTTTCACCTTAAGGTTTCCCATTTCAAAGTTCTCCACCTTAAAATTTTTTACCTCAAAGTTTTCTATCTCAAAGCTTTCTATCTCAAAACCTTCTATCTTAACAATATTTTTTGTCTCAACAAGATCCTTTCTAACTTCAACAGAATCTTCTACAGTACTAACAATACTTCTTGCCTTAACAAGGTTCTTTCTAGCTTCAACAAAATTTTCTACAGCAAGATTATCTGGCTCTACCAAACTTTTGTCTCAACAATTTTTAATTCAAAATATAGAATTTAAACAGTATTATATGCAAAATGAAGTAAAAAATTTTGTGAATCAATAGACTGAGTAACCTGTAATAATACAATAAAAATTTTAAATAAACTTATTATTGATTTTTACTATCTGTATTTTGGATTGAATGGGACTGAATTCTGGGTTCTAATTTCAAAAAAAATAAATAAATAAAATACATAAATAAATAAATAAATAAGTAAAAAAAAACTTCAAGCTTCAAATGCAACACTAATAGTAAGGGACATGACAAAAATCAGGTGATTTTTTAGAGAAAAGGGTAAAAAAAGTTAAAATTATATATAAGAACCTGATTTTTTTTATATTAAGACGGAGGAAGGGGGTAAGCCTCTGATAAAAAATAATCAGATAATAAATAACACTGCCCTAACAATAATAGCAATATCAAAGTAATAGTAAATTAATATAATGATAAAAAATTATAAAAATCTTTAGCTAATCAGAATTTTTGACAATCAGTTGTTGATTTGTACTCAGATTTCTTACAAAATACTATATTTAATAATCTTGAATTATATTCAGTCTAAATCAAGAGAAATATAAATCAAGAGAGGTATCTTGTACTGCATTTTACAGTATATTATAAGATTATCTGATTTTTTGATTTTTAATTAAAATCAATTAATATTAGGGTTAAAATTAAATTAAGTAATTCTTATAGTAAAATCACATTTTCAACACTTTTACTTAGAGACGTTACAAAAATCAGGTGATTTTTTAGTGGGGGAAGAGGTAAAAAAAATTAAAATCATATATAAGAATCTGATTTTTTTTATATTAAGAGGGGAAGGAGGGGTAAGCCTCTGATAAAAAATAATCAAATGATAAATGACACTGCCTTTAGTAAACCAAAACTGGTTTAGATAGTGGTTTTTATATTTTTCGTATTTTTTCTTTATTATCTTGCTTTGTTTTATTCGGGCTAATCTAAATTATATATTGGGTAACTTGTGATGTATCTGGCTTTAAGCAACCTATTTATTCAGGTTTTGATAAGTAGCAATTCTGAAAACTTTTGAGCAAAAAATTTTGAAAAATTTTAAAGATTTGGCATAATTGATTAACTTTAGTAAAATCACATAATTTTATCTAATCATATCATATAATCCTGGACACTCTACTAGAAAGATTTAAAGCAATGACAAGTTATATGATTAACCGCCAATTAAATTATAGAATTTTAATGATTGCTAGCAAAGCAAAACCAAAAATAAAAACCAAAACCCTGAAAAATACAACTAAACCTATCTCAGATAGGTTAATCAAAAATATCATGAAAGCAATTTTACTTATATATAACTACCTAAAACTTTTATCCTAACTCTAATATAAGATAACCCTAACTCTAAAGTTAATCGAAAATATTATTAATAAATGTCAGAGATGATACTGAGAATCAGATGATGCTAGGAATCTGGGGTTTCAATTTACAAATATAAACTCTACTAAAACCCATATATACTCTTTTATTATAAACTCTAACCCTAAATTTTAACCTAATTCTAAAAAAAAAGCTAATAAAATTTTATACTAAAATAATTCAAATTCCTAGTATCATTCGATTTTCAGCATCACCCTCACAATAAATATGAGTGCCTCTGCTTTAGATGTCCTCCATATTTGGGGGGTATTAAAGCTAACTACCCTAGGATCGCCAGAAAAATTCCTATGTAATTTTACTGTCATGTGATGATTGATGAAATCAAGCCAATAATGAACCACACAAGTATCGATTTTGATAGATCTACGGTAGCTTTTTTGATAGATCTACAACACATCCTAAATCTATGTTACATTATTGATGCATTTTAGTATATATATAAAATCCATTTTTTCAAGACTTTGAGCAAAAATACCTCAACAGGTATCCAA